TATTTCCCTCCCCCCTTGAAAAGCCACTTATTCTGGTATTTCTCGACACCAGCATTGTGCCAAGGGATTGATGTTTAACAGAGTGTTGGCCTTCGCGGCGAGGCCTTCCTTGCTGATCCGCGGCGCACGAGGCCGTGCCAAGGCAGGACGCTCGCCCTGGAAATGCAGAGGCTTCTGACAACCTTTCTGATTTCTGACTACAAGGATGACCACATCCTACTCTAGCACAGCAGTACCAATACGCCAAGTGTTCTTTACAAAAAAAAACCCAAACAAACAGGAATTGAAGCAGGAAAGAACTGGAAGTAGAAAGACACTATGACAAGACTTCCTATATTACAACTCCCATGGGAATGTAACACACTGCTGAATTGCAGGACTTTTTTGATCTACTTTCTTAGGGTTTCTTTGGCGGGGGAGGGGGAAAAAAGGTCAAAGAACAGAGCATCATGTGTGAAAAACACCTCTCAAACATGCTCAGTATGGAACAGGGATCTCTCAAAACTAAACAAAATGTGCTCTATATCAAAACATTAAGCTACGCAAGGAAGTACTCGATACAGATAATACACGAAACATTTCCTTACTACTTTTAGATTTCCCCCAAAAGCCCATCAATCACACTAAGTACTCAGTGGGCTCTTCCAAAGAGCCAAATAAATGATAACTCCTGAACTCTGTGGGCATCTACCTGGGAGTTTACATGAAGCAAAGGTGCTCTGGCATGAGCATGCCAAGGTGCACTGTGCGTGCCACCCTGATCAAAGGTTCATAACTCTAATGGCAGGATTTTCACTAAAAGAAAGCAAACAAAAGAGCATGCAAATGGCATTTGCTGCAACCTTCAAACCTGCAGTGATGGTCGGGGCAAGCAGCTCGGTTCCCCTGGCCTCTCATTCATCACCTGCCTTAACAGGAGGGGGGAAAAAAAAGGAAAAAAGAAAAAAATGTCTATTTTTGTTGGACGGCTTGATGAAATGTGGTAAGTTCCTGTGGGACATTTCGACTCTAAGAAATTATAGTTTTCCCCAAGAAAAACTTTCTGCCAAAATATATCCTGTCAGCTGTAGACCCCTCCTTTACATCAGTTTTCAAGATCAGCAGACCATAGTTTTTCCCACCTGCTTTCTCCTCCCTCTCCCCCACTGCTCAGGGAAACAACTTTTCCCTTTTTCAGGTCCTTGTCTTTGAAAGAAATAGTTTGAATGAAGGTAATAGCCTCTCTTAGACAAACTACAAACAGAACAGAGCAAACATGCTTCTTATAGACTTCAGATAGATCACCAGAGGTACAGAAATGCACTCATGGGCAGGACTGGATTACCAAAGCAATCTCTCTTACAAACCTAAGACAGAAGGTTGTCTGCCAGGCGACCATTCAAACTTTAAGTTATAGATTAGAATTTTAATTTTAGAAGATCCATTCTTACCTACCTACACCTTAAGAAGAGATTTTAAGGGAGCAGGAGCTTGTGATTAAACATTGTATAGAAACACAAACCCCACAGAGCAGCGAAGGAAGCAGAACCATCATTTCCTAATTTTGAATCCCAAACCATGCCACACTGTTAACCTTAGGCGTACGTGGGTAAAGCACAGGACGTGGGGACATTATGGATTGTAGACACACAGCTTCATCCCGTCTGGTTCACCTAACTTTATCTGGTTTACCTAACCAGATTAACTTGTCTCTTTTACCTAATGTTTACCTACCTGCATCTGCAGGTGTTGGCCAAAATGAAGCTGAAACTTTCTTTTTGGGGAAAAAAAAAGCCTCAGAACAGTGTTTCTTGACTCAGAATAATGCATCCAATCCAAAGCTTCAGCTCACTTGTACTCAGTTTACATGTCCAGATTTTCAAATCCACAGCTAGGATATTATCTTCAGCCTTGTTACCCATTCAGCTTTTTTTTTTTTTTTTTTCCTCCCCTCCCTGAAGCATCTACAGTTTTTCCACATGTTTGTCCCAAGAACTTCAGGAAGATGTTCCTTAAATGGTTCATTTTCTACCTGCTACAAAGTTTAGTAGCTCCCAGGCCAATTTCTACCAAATTGGAGGGTACTTCTATAAATTTTTGAAAAAATCCTCCCACATACTTGTTTTTCAGAAATGCTGAATAACTTAATGTGCCATTACACTAGTAAAAATAATAAAAGGCAAACCATAAATCTGTGGGGCAAATCCCAGCAGCTGACATTTTGGAGAAAAGAAAAAAATAAAATAAAAAGAAAGAAAACAGACCCTCAAGCATAGAGGACAAATGAAAAAGAAATAGATGCCAAGTTTTATTAAGGGATCGTTTGGTTGCATATACAGAATGCTATCCTTCTTTAAGTAACACATTTGCTGTAAAAGAAACGATGGACTTGTTTATACCCATAAATGGGTCAAATTCATGGCCCTGCCAGTCCTTTCCAAACATCTCATTAACTGCACCACATGAAGGTTTTTGTTTTACTTAAGTAGACACACCCCCTTGCTTTCAGTTCAAGGGTCACTGCTGTCTTTTAATTAACATATGCTCTCCTAGCTCTGCTGACAAGAAATCCATCTTACAGCCCAGATTTAGTGCTACTGACGAGTCCTTTGCATTTGGAGGTGAAAAGGGTCAAATGGGCACTGTGATTTCAGGCACTGGAAGCAGGAGAGCGTTGCCTTTTCACTTGCAAAAGGCTCCTCTGCCTCGGGTCAGGGGCGTCAGCGACATTCCCTAAAGGCTGCACTGCCCCATGCTCACTGGACAACTCCTGAACTCCCATCCCAACAAGTCTGCCCTGGTGTCAACACCCTTGCATCTCCCTAACTAGCTCTCAGACAGACCAGAGACCATCCACCTCCGGGGGGAAATGATCCTTGGAGGAGTTGCTAACGCTCTGGCAGACCCAAATCATTTGCAAACCTGTCTAGGGCTTGTTATTCGTGTGTTTTCTTTCCCAGCTAGGTAGAGAATAACTGTGCAACAAACAGGAACATCGCTACTGTTAAGCACAAGTTACAAACCTAAAACACAGCATTTCACATTTCACAGGATCCACATGTTTAGAAAATCAATTAATCTCATCCCTGAAGTCCCATTGCCAACGTATGGCTGGAAAACAAGCGAAACGCAGCAGCGCATGTGTGCAGGCGTACGTGGCAAACCAGTTTGACAAGGTAAACAAAGCTGCCCGCTGCGTGCGACACCGGGAGCCTGGGGAGTGCTGAGGCAGCACAGCTCGTTGCTGACCTCAATTCAGCAAAGCGCTTCTCAGCGGGCTTGTTTTACCAACCCAGCCCCAGCTCAGCATTCCCAGAACCAGGGCTCGCATCTTGGCTGGGCAAACCAGCCAAAACGCTCGGGCTTGCCGGGGCTAAACCGCACTGCGGAGCTAGCGCGAGGCCTCAGAACCAGCCGGGCAAAGGAAGGCACCTCAGAACTGCACGTGGAGAAGAAATAAAAAATAAAATAGAGAGAGAAAAAAAAATAAGAAAAAGGAAAATACAAAAGGTCATTTTGACTTTAATTATTACAGAAGACTAAAATGGAGGTAACTTGTTATGGGGGAAAACAAAACGAAACACCCTGCTCTACAGATATTAAGAATCAAATGCTTCTGAAAAGGGAGAGAGGGAAAAAAAAAAAAAAAAAAAAGCACACCTCCCTTCAATACTTAAAGGAAACAGATTAAAAAAAGAAACCACCTTCTCCCACAAACCAGACTGCACTGGATGCTGCACCCTACTAGCTTTTGGCAACCGTCAGCAGGGATTTCTATCATCTTCCTTGGCATTACTCACTTATCACTCCTAATACCTTAAAATTTTCCATAACCAGTATGAACTTTCACAAACAGTTAAAATCAACAGAGAGAAGTTTATAGTTCTTGTTGGCTTTGGCGCTGGAGCTGTCAGAAACCACACTGTGGAGAGTGTTAAATATCCTGATTTATATTCCAATTGAATCAAGATAACATCTATGTACAGAACACAATGTACCCTTCAGATTCACTACAGCTGTCAGATTCATTTTGCTGTGATATCCAATCCCTAGATGAGGCAGAGAGGTATGTAGGACAGCGAGCAAGTAAATCCCCATGATTTTGGTTTGCTTTTCAGTCAGGCTACTCTACATTATATTCCAGCCAGAATCCATGCAGAAAATGGATTTTTTCAAAGAACAATTCCTTGCAGATCTACTGCCAACATAACAAAAATAAGAGTTTGAGATCTTGACAGCAGAAAAAGGGCAGTAGTGTGGTTTGGATGCCTTTAGAAGATTTAGGTTTAAGTCTCTGCCTACCCAATCCTTCCCCTTATGTAACTGTGCAGCGATCATCATCCTTCTGTGCCTCAGGTTGGGAAGAACAGAGACCTGGGCTGGGAGGATAAAGCACGGTGGCTGTTGCAGAGAGCCAGATGAAAGAGTAATGGGAAACACAGAGAAACAACCAAAGGGAAAAGAAAAAAAAAAAAAGATCAGTTTTGCAAATGAGACTGCTCCAAGAGAAAAAAGTCTTGTATTTCCTGGATGTGCCATGCTGCAAACCTACAAGACTCAGACCCCCAGTTCAGCCTTTTTCAGCTGGCCCTGTGTTTCAGCGCAGGAACAAAGCGCTAATTTTAACGTGCGGGTCTGTCCCGGGCAGATCACTGGGATGGCAACACTGCCCCCTCCTACAGCAAGGCCGTGGATGGAAAACGTTGTGGAGCAAACAAGTCTGCTCACTAGTCAAAAGAGCTCAAAACATAATGTACTACTTAATATAAGCCAGTCCGCAAAAACTTGGGTCTGATGCCTGTAGTTTCCAAGCTATTTTAATCAGTGAGGGTCCCATCAGTGCAAATACCATTTGTTTCACAACAGATCCAAACTACAGAGGACAGCACTGCTTTTGGAAATGGCAGCAGACTAGGTCTGAAACCCTCTCCCCTGCTCCCCATTCAGTCATGATTCTTGAAACTGCTTAAGAATCAGTCACAGAACTGGATGAGCCAGTATTACATCAAATTGTTTCCTACCCATTGGTGGTGCTCTGCTTGACTGTAGATGCCATTGCAATCCTTCCATTTAAGTCAGCTCATCTGGAAGAAAAAAAAAAGGCACATATTTAACATGTATTTAACATATTTCCTTTGTAGAAGAACAACACACTGCATTCAGTAGATGCCACTGAAGCTTTGCTTTAACTGTCAAAGACCTACTCAGGAACATCCTTCCTCAGAGACCAAAGGGAGAGAGAAAAGGAGAATTAAATAAGTAATCCTGAAATATTTGCTCTATCTGAAGCAAGCTAATCATTATACGACAGTCATGTCCAAAATGTTTGTTACCATAAACAACCAATCTCGATTTCTGTGCATTTCCTCTGTGTGTGCATGTGCACACTGCACGCAGGTTTTGCAACTCCCTCATATCTTCCCAGCAGTCCAAATCAACTTCCAATTACTTGCAGGATAAAAGTGTGAAATACCATGCAAGAAAAGGATTAGAGATAACGTAAAAAA